AAAGCCAAACATATAAGAATAAACAACACTAACGACATCATAATCAAACTGCTTAAAACAAATGATAGGGAAAAAAATTCTTTAAAGCAACCATTGAAAAAAAAAAAAGATGGCCAAAAATAAGAATAACAGAAGATTTCTCAATGAAAACAATGCAAGCTAGGAAACAATGAAGCAAAATCTTTAAAAGTACTGAAAGAAAAAAGTCAATGTAGATTTCCTTGCCAGTGAAAAAAGTTTCAAAAACAAAAGTGAAATAGAATTTTTCAGATATACAAAGCTAAGAGACTCATCAGTAACATACCTTCATTTCAAGAAATACATTAATGGTTTTAAATAAATTTTATTTTGTAATCACATCATATACATTCCAAAAAGTGCTGTTTCTGTGTGTCAAGCAAGTTGTTCTGTTTGCGGGCATTACTTGTTAGGGATTTGAATTCCAGGATCCTTTGTGTCACCACTACAGACCCTCATGGTCCTGGGACCCGCAGATGGAGAATCATTATATCAGAATACAAACTTCATAAGAAATGAAGATCCAATCCAATGTCATGGGGCAGACAAATGGATTAATGAGGATAAAGGCTGAGCTGCAATGATAATATTAAAATATAGTGACTTAAAAATATTAAACTTTTATTTCCTTCTCATAAAACAAACCAGGCAGAAAGACCAAGGCAATACAGCAGCTCAGGGGGTCAGAGGCCCAGGTTCCTTGCCATTCCCAAGGTGTTGCCCTCACCTGCATGGCCAAAGGTGATCTAACCAGTGGGAAAGGGAGAAAGTAAAGATTAGGATGTGTTTCTTTCAAGGGCAGGACACAAAAGTTATATGCACCTCTTTCTGTCATATCCTATTCACTACAACCTAGTCATACCACCACACCTTGCAACAAGGGAAGCTAAAACCAATGTAACGTAGCAATAATGTGCTCACCTGAAACTTATATTGTAGTTTCTGTAGAAAAGGGGAAGAATAAATATTGGGGAAATGATTAACAGTATCTGCCAAACCAAGTTAGTGACTGAGTTAAAACTAGAAGGGGAAAGCTCATCAGATTGACAATTAAGAAACAGGGATTGCAGTTGCAATTCAGCCTCTTATCCCATGATTAAACCAAATATTTGTCCATGTTTCACCTGACTACCTTAATTATCTGCACCTGAATTTGAGTGATTCATCTCAACTGTCCCTGTGTAGGGGGAGCAAGCTATACCAAGAACTAAGAGAATTTCGTCCTAATTTTTAAGTTAAATCCTGTTCTTTATTGGACAGTGTGACCCTTCGAGGAGTCATTAGCTCTACATCTATGAAGACCAGTGCACAGCTGTGAACTCTAGGCTGATGCTAGCCCAAACTCCAGCACAGTTCCTAGTCAGAAGCAGGGTTCTACTC